TCAGTTTTCAGGAAGTTTTCTGATTTTTTTCTAATTGGTTTATAATTTGTATATAATTTGTTGGACTTCATGTGCCAGACATCAGAGTTTTAAATTCATATCTTATACAATTATTTAAAAATACTGAATTTTAACACAGAATTTGTACAGATTGTATTTTAGATCAAGAGCAAGAAATTATTAAGATCATTATGTTACAATTAGCAAAATCTTATTTCAATTCATGTTTTCTCATCTCGTAGTTAAATGATCTTTCTATAAAGATCTTAATATGCACATCACGCCTAGTTTTGAAAAGATTAAAAATCATCATTCCCTGGATTAGGCTTTATGTATAAAATAATACTATGGGGCTCTCCTTCCCGATGCTTGTATATAATTTTTTGTTAGTTTTTACTTAAAGCATTACTAATTTCACACTAGTTTAATATAGAAAGAAAATAATATAATTATTAATATGTATAGAAAATGATATTTTATTAAAATTATTCGACTAAGTCACGTCAATAAAATATTTAAAATTGCATTTTAGTTTAACGAACACGTCATTATATTGAAATTAAATGTAGCAAATCAAGTTAATTTATATATTTCATTATTCATTGTAATTAAAAGTAATAAATGAAACCTCATTAGTAACTGGAATTAACTATTTTGAAAAAAAAAATTTAAGATAGCTAAATGGTTGAACGTTTAAGTGTGTTACTAAATTTTTCTGATAAATCTCAGTACGTTAAGTGCTTCAAAGTGCAATAGGAGTAACCAATGGGAAAAGGAAATGAAATCAGCAACAAAATAAAATAATTGCGGCTTTTGTAATTGCAACCAAACCAGAAAACTAGAAAAGCAGAAAACTATTCGAAAAGAAAATAAAACAATTTATTATAAAAAAGTTAAATTAAAACAATTTCACAATTTCCTTTGTAAATGCAATATCCCTTTAATCAAATAAATTGATCAAATTAAAAACCACCCAGAGGAAGAGTACAACTATTGCGGTGCTAAAAAGGAACGGAAAGAAAAAGTAATAAAATATATTCACAAAAACAAACCAATTTAAAAAATATAATTGAAAACATTAACAAAAACAAAAAATAACTGAAAAAATATATATATAATGTATATAGTAATAAAATTAAAGACTTTATCGTTTAAGGAAAATATGTACTATATATTTTGAATATTTTGTGGATTTCGGATTGTCTTTGCACAGATAAAAATTAGTGATAAGAGTACTTTGTTTCATTAAAATTACTCATAGATAAAATGATAGATAACGGATAGTTACAACAATAGATATCTTTCCGCAACCATAACAACGATTATTCCCTGTTTTACTACCAAATTTCTCGCAAGAAATCTTAATTTCCATGTTACATTTTTTGACCTCCGGTATACGGTCGAGGAGTCTGCTTTTTTAATATGAGTCTACAGTTTAACAACGTAGTACTTTTTAATTCTGATATGTTCTATTATTCTCATTGGTAATTGTACTTCTTTGAGAATGTTTTCAATTTTTATATACCATTAAATTCCAGCGATTATTGCAAGTATTTTTTAACGGAGCTGAATGCAACATATCGGTGTTGCATGAACAGGAGTTCACAAATAACTTCCACTTTCTTTTGGATTATTCTATGCATTTTTTAACTGAACTCTATGTAAAATTTTAGAGTTTGACGAACTGGGGCTATGAGCAAAAATATCCAAAACCAAAACAGGAGCACGCATATTGAAATCGACTAAAAATAACTCACAAGCAATGAAAAAGGATTGAAGTGTATGCTGTCACGCTAGGTATATCATAGTAAGGAGTTGCACTCCTGCAAACTCCTGCAAAGTATTGGTTGATAACACTTATTTGTAATTATATTTCAAAATTTTTCTTATTAAGACAAAGTTAAAAAGTTAAAATTTTTGGCTATTATGGATTCTAAATACAGTTGCAGTTTTTATTTTAATCCTTTGTTATCAAAGCGGAAGTAAGTAGTTTTGGCGTTCGACACTGCTGACTAATTTGTAATTTATACTTAAAGAAATCAGAATCAAAATATCACTTGTTTGTTGTTATTATTCAAAATTTTCTAATTCAAGAAGACATTCATACATTCGGTTTTCTATATTTCTGCTTATTATTTAGTATGTTCAGATGGATATCTAGATATACTTTGGCGTTTAACACTTCCTGATTTAGGCAAATATCTTTATACTAAGAATTATTGTTTACTGATTGACATTGAACCTTCGAGAATCAATGGTTGTCTTTGCTTGTCAAGTTTGACCATGCAAAATCGTTCTAGGGATCTAGAGAAGAAAATCTTTGCGAACCAATGGTTGCCATTGTTGCTCATGTTTAACCATGCAAAGACATTCTAGGGGTCTACAGATTAATTGTAATCTCAAGAAGAAAATTCCAAAGCAGATGTGTGTTGTGGGAAAGTAGCAAAGGTGCACCAACTGTAAACTATTTGAGTGCTACAGTAAATCTTATAACATATAAATCTCCATTTCAATTGACATTAAGGTTTTATGTATTAAATAAATTAATAAATTTATTTTAGGGAATTCTGGTCCAGTAAAAGACATTTTAACCGAGAGACTTCGAGTGGGAAGAGTGTGTTCAAAAAGTACACGGATTTTGTAAATAAAACACACAAATTTAAATTTTATTCCAAATTTATTTTATCTCCTTCAAAGTATACTCCTTCTGAAGCGATACACATATGCCAACGCTTAACCCAATCTTCCATACACTTTTCGTAGGCCCGTGCAGGTATAGCTTTTAGTTCCTTCAACGAATTCTCTTTTACCGATTCAATCGATTCAAAATGCTTACCACGAAGCGGCAATTTGAGTTTCGGGAACAGGAAAAAGTCGCACGGCGGCAGATCGGGCTAATATGGTGCCTGAGCGATGAAAGTAGTGTCGTGTTTGGCCAAAAAATCGCGTACAACAAAAGCCATGTGCGATGGAGCAAAGCTATAATCTCCTTTATTGACGTTAACATAACTATTATGTATTATAAATAAGTGTGAAATCATGTGCTTCAACCAATGCTTAGCTAATATTGTAATGAAGAGAAATACTAATTTAAAAGAAATTGCAAATACTTTTTTTATCTTATCTTGTTATTAGTTGATGTCATAGTTATTTATATATAGTTATTATACATGGTTATTAGCATATAGTTATTAGTACATAGTTATTAACTATGTGTTGAGGATAGCTATTACATGATGAAGTAGTAATTATGTAGCTAGAAAGCTTCTTCAATAATTGAATTTCAATTTGTATTTAATTGACTTACTGACTCAATATATTTCTTTGCAAATAATTACGCAAAAAACGTCGGCATTATTTATGTTGTGTTAAACATTTTTTTTGGATCAACCTTATCTGTTCAATTTGTCAATATATATTTCTCATACCATAAGAGCAACCATAAATTGAATTAAATACTGTAATATTGTTATATATATGCTAGACCTTACTTCGCTTCATTTTTGATGTGAATATTTTTATTGAGTATCCTTACTCCTCGTACAACAAGGGACATAATTAATTTAAATTATATTTTTCACTGCAAGCTGACCATGATGAAATTAATTGAACATGGTTTTTACTTGTAAACAAAAATAATGTAAATACTTTAATTTTATACTTTTGTATAAAAATTGGACGACATACAGATTTACGTACTTAAATGACATTCACTTTTGTTTCTTTCCTTTTTTGGATGGCCTATAATAAAGGCAATTTGTCTGTTGTATAAAGTAAAAAGATACTAAAAATTGGTTGTGAAATTTAAGTGAAAAGACAAATTAATTGACTTATTTATGAGTTTCTTAATACATTGGGATGTACGTAGTTAATGTATGAAAGCTGTGACATATCAACATTAAAGGTTACATATGTTATGTTTGCTCGTTCAACAAGTACGGAGTTTCAATATATAAGGAGTTTAAGGAATAAGTAATTTATATATTTTTTTAAATAGTAATAATATAATAAATTAATTAAGAAGTTTTTAAGAAGAAGAAGCACATTTCATTTAATATTAATTTTTTTCTTCACATAAATATGAATGATAGTTACAACCACTTAATGTTTGGTTATAATAACTAAACATGCTTTGTATGTTTTATTTCAAACCGTTCTAGGCGCTACGGTTATACGCTTAAAAGCGATAACCCATTAAAAAAAAATTCTTGTGATGACAATTTACGCAGTAAAAAATACGGCATATTGTTTAAGCTGTTACTTCATCTTATTAATACCACTTGACTTTTATATCAATGCCTTTAATTGCACGGAAAAATCAATTGGTAATCATGTGGTTGGAGAGATCAGAATGGACAGCTTGTGCAATACTTTTGTCATTTTCAAAAAAGTACTAGCCTGTCACATGTTCAGACCATATGTCTTACCAAACAGTGATCCCTCCCTAAAGCAATAGTTTTTTATAAGTAATTT